TATCAACACATTATGCAAGATGTATTGTCAACCCGAGCTTGAATTATTTCCACACACAGCCCGAATTGCAGATGACCCCTAGGTTAGCACAATTCCAGTTGTTGTTGTTGTATCCTTCACATGGGGAAATAGTGCATTTCAACATAGTGACAAAGCTTTTTATCAAAACATTTTCATAAATGGTAGCCATTAACATGATGCTACATGTAAATAATGCTGAAAAATGTATCCATAAGCATAATAATGCTGCTCAACTTCCTGTTTAAACCAGAATAAATTACACATTGTGTGTTTCTAAGTAACTGAAGTGAAGTACGTCTGCATTAGGCGGGGTTTAGTAATACAGAACATGATGGAAATAGGACCTTCACTTCCAGCCTGCACACAATAACAGCAACAACAAGGAGAGCATTAACTCGCATATTTTAAATCAACCACCCACCTTGCCCAGCGGGGAGAGAGATTGTTTTGCCCCAAAAACCTTTCTCTCTCTCTTTCTTTCTCTCTCTCCAACTCAAACGTGTTTGCGCTGCTAAGGAGGTAATTATGTGAACGCAGCACAGATAAATGGAGCTGTATTAAATAATCAGAAAGGGAAAACTCATTTCTGGTTGATTTAGATGAGTTTTTCTGAAAAGTGTTTACATCCATTGTGCGACAGATCATTTGTTGTTTATGAACTCTTTTCAAAGTACCAAAACACCTTTTCAAACCATCTAAATCATTTAAACTTTATAAACTATATTAATATTTTCTGTGGTATCTTTAGTTCTGTTGAATACTGACCTATTGTCTCGCGTGAACTTTCACAACTGTTCTGTCTGCATGCAAATGAAATAGCTTTTTTTAGTATAATGTAGCTTAACACTTATTGGAACGGGAAGTGAATTATGTCCTGTGAGATTATCATCTATCTGAGTTGTAGTAGCAGTGAGGAGACCTGGACTGCACTGAGGAATGCTGGAGTCTTAACCTCTATTACTGCTTAACAAGCCACATTACAAGCTGTGGCTGAGGCTCCTTTCCCAATGCTCCCTGTTACCTTCCCTATTAGGCTAGGGGAACTAAAGGGAAGAAACACAACCAGATTGGTATTGGTATAATTATAGGTGATTTATTTTAAATAGCAGCGGTAAACAAAATGGAAGGCAGGCAGCCTGAAACAAACAAAAGGGCACAGGTTGACAGATAACCAAACTAAGGGAGGACTCAAAAGGAGTCTAACGGCATACAGGGAAAATAAATAGTAATATGCTAAATAAAGAACGAAACAAAACCTCACTTTAAAAGTGGTACAGACTAACACAGGAAATATATACAAAACACACAGCTAAACTAAAAGGCAACAGTCACAAAGTCCTAAACTACTCTAAACACTAACTAAACTACTCTACACTCTAACTAAGCTAATCTAGACACTACTAATCACACAAGTTTAACCACAGTTAACAGAATTATATTAGAGCAAGTAGCGAGAGGCGTCTGTCCACATGTTAGAGCCTCCAGAGTGGTGATAGTCCGCAACTTTTGTACTCCTCCCCAGCAGGTGTGCGCCGGCTGTGCGCTGCGATTGCGATCCAATCACCATCTTCAGAGGCGGACCAGGAGATGGGCAGCCAATGATGTTGGGGCTACCACACAGCTCATTTGCATAATCACACACGCACATAGCTGCAAACAATCCCAGACAGATTAAGGAGCAGACAAACAGCAGCCGTAACACTCCCTCTCAAAGCACAACAGGGTTTTCGATATTACACTTGATCATACTTTAATACATTTGACTCTCTCTGCCATGCTGAGGTCTGATCTTGCAGCAGCATATGCAGGCATGCAGATCTGTCATCGAAACACAGGTGCTCATTCGAATTCAGCCTCAAAGGACCATTAAGCATGGTCATACCTTAGTTATTAAAAAAACAAATGCAAACACAATCAACTAAATGTGTATCTACTACATAAATATTGCACGTCATCTGTGGCCGGATGGATTTCAGGCAAAGAAAGACAAATTAATGTTCTCCCCATGGAGACTGAAATGTGAGAGCAGCACTTTCTAAACATGTTTTCCCAAAAGGCCCACACAGTGCTGACTTAACAACAGCCGCCAGCCATTCACAAGAGGCTTATTAATAGGGGGATTGTGTTTTGTCAGGTCTGTTGCTGTACTTAATACTTTTTTAATTGGTAGCTTGTCACTCACAGCTTATTTTTGTAGAACCTGCATGAATCTTAATGAGTGCATGTATCAGATAGCAAATGCCGAGTAAATTATTGTTTTCGTTAGTAACTGCTTTTTCAGCATGCCATCTCTTTTCATTCACTTTACTGGTGGTAAGGGCTTGGTAAGTATTCATAATCATTAGATGCTATTGGGCATCCAACAACACGGCTAAGATAAGATAAGATAAGACTTTATCCATCCTGAAGGAAATTGTTGTGCCAGAGTAACAAAATACAGACACAATGTTACGAGCAACTCTAGCAGGCAGCCACCCGTGGCAGCGCCATCTTAAAGGGATAGTGGAAATCCGCGAATTTTGGGTTTAACTTATGTATTTTTATTAAAAAGAAGCATATTAAACAATTTTTTTAAATTTCATCCGCCTAGTTTCATTTTATTTTCAATTTTACTGCGCCCTCTCAATGAAACGAAATACTTCGGGAATCTTCGGGTGATGACGAGAGCTCAGGAAGACGGGCACAAACAATGGCGGACATTCAATAGCATTTGCATGTGAATAGCCGACCTTTATTATGGTGAATAGATGTGTTTTGTATGGCTGTAGTGCAACAGAAAAATTCTACGTGACATAACGACATTGGATTAACCTTGAGATGCGTTTTTATTCCGTTGAACACAACTTTTGATCACAAATCAAAAAAGGTAAGACGTAATTATTGTAATATTTGTGGAACCGGATGTTGTTTACTTTCTCTTTTCTGGCTGATAGCTCCAGGAATTCGAAGTCTTACAGTGATGACATTACATGTGTGGAATCTGTGGAGTCTCAGCTTTAAATCGTATATCTTGTTTGTGCAGTTAAGATAGTAATAAGGGCATTTCTACCGTGTGTTGTGTGTAAAAAAGCGTTAGCATTGTTTCGCTCAATGCTAATTCAAAGGCTTGGTATTACTCTTGTGTTTTTTCTAGCTAACAATTGTTCTTATTGTCAGTTAGCGGAGTTTCTTACCTTTAAAAAAGGGTATGAAACATTAATAGTTTCATAAATGTTAAGAAGCCCTGAGACATGTGAGAGAAAAAACGGTGGGAGGGGTCCACTGGGGGGACCTTCGGCCTTAACTGGTTAACAATGATTAATATTTGTAAAGGCTACAGGTGATCTTAAGATGCGTGAGCTATGCTTAGGGACCTACCAGTCAAGATTATTTGTGCGTAGGGGTGCATCATCTGGCGCCTGGTCCTGGTCATCCTCGCCATTGCCCATGCCGTGAACCATCACCTCGGGCTCGAACAAATAAGGACGTAATGGTCTATCGTCTGGCTCAATATTGTCACCATCGTCGCTTACTGAACCGGATTCAGATTCAGTTCCTAAAACGACATTTTCGTAGGAAAGCCGAGAGGATGTCTCTGACTCGCTATCATCACTGGATACCTCGTACAATCCTTCTTCTTTGTCTGGTATATTTGCCCTTCCACGTTCATTCTGCATAGACGCCATGGTTTGTTATCGTATCGTCTTCCTGAGTTTTCGTCACTTCCGGTTAGGCTGAGAAACATTTCGTTTCTAAAAAACTTCGGGGAAGCTGCAATAAAGTGCTTCTAACATGCGTAAGGCAATTATTATATATTTGTAATCAGGTGTGATTGTTTTGGTACGTAATTATGCTTGTATATAAGTTAAAACGAAACTATTTGAGGTTCCATTTCCACTATCCCTTTAACTTCTGAAAGGAAGCCTATTTGAAGGCTATTTGTCATTGTAGCTCAAAGTAGCACAGTAACAACTTGTTTTATGCAAATAAGATCAACTCTCCACACACTGTTTCAGGCAACAGCATTTTACCACATAACTCTTCTGTTGTTTCAGCAGTAATGAGGTCTCTAGATCATCATTTTGATTATTATCCCTTGGAGAAATATTCCTACAATATCTAACACAGCAAAAAACGGCTGTTGATAGATTATTGCTGCATGAGCACGGGCAGTGAAGCAAAATGCTTTGGCAGCAAAATCTCATGAACCTAGCTATTGAAGAATGGAGCGTGAGAGCAGACTTACATGAAGCATGTCGTGAAAACGGCATTTCTTCTGAAGGGATTGACTTTGTTTAACTTTAAAAACAGATACACTATAACTTCTCCTGTAAAGGGATGAAGTGTAAATGTGTGTGTGTGTGTTTGAAACAGATTGCATCTAATGGTACCTGAGTTATCGCTTGAGGAAAAAATGGAAGCAGACGCAGACTATTCTTTGCAATTGAAGATACATGAGGAAAGTGGGTCATTTATGGAGCATATACTGTATGTGAATCAGTGAAAAATACATCTTAATCTGAATAATGATTTAGAGGGTGAAAACGCCCTGCCAGCTCCATGTCTAAGTGAGGCCAAATCATAACAGGACTGTGACCATGCTGATCCAAACTGCAGTTCGCTCTGCACAATCCCACACAATCAGCACTCAGATCAGCTCTCACTCAGAGAAGAGAGTGGTGCTGTATAACAAGTGTGCTTTGTAAGTAGGTGCAGAAGTGAGTGTCATTGACTCTTGTTTTTCGCTCCCATTCCTTCTCAGACTACTCTCAAATGCCTCCAGAGTCCACATGAGACTCAGGTGGATGATGAAACTCTCCAGACTGTCATTTAAAAACCCAAACTTTAAAGAGCAAGCCAGGATCAGAGGGATGTGATGTGAGAAAGCTGCTTTTGTTGAAACCAATGTGTCTGAAACAATTGTTAGAAATTAGCAAGTTCATTAAATGGGTAAAATAAAAAGGAGACATGTTTTCTTTCAAGTCAGGCACACAAGAATGAATGAAGTCTCTCTCTGAATCCCAAGCTGCTATTGTACACACAGAGACAGAGCGGTTATTTATTTGATGTGTGCTTTCGTCATTCTTGTAAAGCACTCTTCAAAGTCTGTCACCTTAAAAGAGTCAGACTTTGTTCTCTGATGAAATCATCAGACTTCAAGGAGTCAACATTTCAAACGCATGATAAATTGTTACAGTGCAGCAGAGTAAACAGCACATATTCACACATTCAACAACACCTTCTGAATGTGCATTCTCTCCCACTTAAACACAAATACACACCTAACACTACGCCACACACACACACACACACACAAACCTTTGAAGACAACGTCCAGGTTCTGACGTGAGGATTATTGAATTATTGTCTAGTGTCTGTGTGTATTATGTTGCCCACTTACACTTATATAAGAAGAGACATGGCATTTTAACATAATAAGCAAACATTTGTCTACTCTGTAATACGATTGTTTCACGGCCAGTAACAACAGTGCCAGTGTCCTTTTCTCTCAGTCTGTTGTTAACACAAAGACATGACCAGGAAAGGATGAAAATTACACTTGATCTGCGAAACCCTGGAAAGTTTAACAGTTAATAATGATTAGGGTTAAACCAACTCTGACATGCATTGTAGACATGACTGGACATTCACTCAGTCAGTGACTGATCATGGAAATGTGGTCAAATTCATGCAAAATGAGACACTGAAAAGTGGTTTCTGAACTGGTTGGCTTGTGAGAGCTGCCCCTTTGGACTACGTTACATGATACTTGTTAGACGCTTTTATCCAAAGCGACTTACTTACAATCAGTACTGTGGACAATCTCCACAGGAACAACTTGGGGTGAAGTGTCTTGCCCAGGAACACAACAACATGCTGACTGCAGTGGGGTTTGAACCTGTGATCCCCAGATCCGAACACCTACTCTGAACACACTGCGCCACACACCTCTGGATGTTTTGGAATCAAATGTTGTGTCTATACCCCAGACACATTAAGTCATGTAGTTATCCTTAATTAGGTATTACTCAAAGACCGTGTGGTATTAATAACAATTCTTTGCAATTGCCATTGTTTATGGTTGTTCGTCTTATTTTAGCAATGTGCACAACCAATGGGGATCCACTCGTAAAAAGCAATTCTCCATAGTGGTCAAAAACTCAATTACAGAATCACACTACATTGCATGCTGTGTTAGTGTAGTTCATCATTAAATGAGTTTCAAAGTTCATTGTAGATGGTGCTTACTCAGTTGGAAGAAAATCAAGCATAGGTGAAAATCTCATACTACTCATGTAATGTAGCCGGGCTATTCTAATGATAGATCAATTATTAACAAGAACTGGCTTTTATTCCAAGGCATTATAAAATATGTTTTCTCGTCTGACGATATTGTCAAAATACAGATCTAAGTAAATATTGTTGGTTTGACTACAGTGGAGTGCTGTTGCACCTCTCCAAACCTTTCAATTTGAACACCTTCACACCTGGTCTGCTCTCGTCCAGGTAGTCCAGGACTGGGTTGTCATAAGCCAGTTGTGCCTTCCTCCGGGCCGACTCTTCCTGTGTGTTGACAGAGGTCTTCGGTGTTGATATATGCTCCTCTTTTTCTTCTTCTCCCTGTCCCTCCTCGCAACGACAGGCAGTTGCCTTGGTGATGAGGTGATCGAGGGGTTTGAGAGAGCGCATCCACTGGGGCAGGAAGTCCCAGCTCTGCAGCTTAGTGGGCAGGTGGCGAGGAGTACGGGCCTGCATCACATTAATCATGGAGATGAAGATGGTCAAACACAGGAACGGAGCCCCAACGCCGGCCATCACTCGCCAGCCTGCCAGCGAGAGGCCCAGAACCAGCGAGGGCAGGAGCACGAAGCACAGGAGGAGGTACAGGACTGCAAACCAGCGGTACTTGGCAGTGCGCTCACCAAGGACACGCGCCATCCTTATGGGCAGGCGCGTGAAGGGGAGAGGATACCACAGCATTATGCCAAAGACGTTGAAGAAGAGGTGACACAGAGCGATCTACATACAAAGACAATGCAAATAGATGCAGTATGTGAGGGCTGAAGATGCCAACATTCATTCCAAATACATAATCCAATGATACCAGATGAATGAATGAATGAAAACTATTACAGACTCAGGGTCCAGATAAAAGATGGTTTTAGTGTTGGCAGTTTAGTCCGAAGGGAGGATTTACCAACAATTGTTTTCCCTGAAGCACATTTAGCTGCCTTCAGCTTATTTGTGCAGAAATCATGTTCATAAATATAGAGACCAGTATTATTATAATGTACCATCTGTAGATTATTATCTGTAACACCAATGGTTTTGTCCGGGTAGGGGAAAAATATATTCTGTTGCAGTTTTCAAAATACCTGTTTTATCCATTGACTGTATACAATATTGCCACAATCTTTGTGATGTACCCCATAGGTTTATGAAAAGCCGTACTGAAGCTCAAAGTGGAAGGGTTGACTTCGCCTGACAACTCTAATAAAAAATGGGCAAAGAGGTGGATAGTCTTTAGAGATTTGTCGACTCACAACCTGTGACAGCACCAATATGTCAAAGCTCTCATGCTCTTAAATATAAGTAACTTCAAGCCTTGATTTGATTTAAACCAAGGAGATATATCCCTTGTAGAGTTAGCAGTAGAGACCTACTGACCTACTACACTTTAAAACTACTGCACTTTAGAATTGTACTTTTTTTGCTGTTGGGCATTTTATCATGGGAGCCAATGGAGATGGACTACAGTACATTCTTAACCCAGTCTCAAGAGGACATTTTAGGATATTCATTTTAGGCACTTCCTCTTTGTTTTTTCGGCACAGGAGGCTCCTGCTAGGTTGTACACTGGCTTACCTGTATGGCAGCTGCTAGCTTGTTCCCAGGACTGGCCAGAGCTGCCAGCAGAGCGGTGGCCGTGGTGCCGATGTTGGACCCGAGGGTGAGGGGATAGGCCCGCTCGAGGCTGATCACACCGATACCTGAGGGAGACGACAGAAGAACGCTGTGTCAGAGGAAAAAGGGACTTTCAATTAAGATGAAAAGCTCATAATATATACAACTTAAATAAACGTTACTGTCTATCACCTGATGTTAGAACAATGGCTTGTGTTAGGGTCTCACAAAACAAAATAAAACATACAACCTTGAAGGACTCCCTTACAAATAGGCCATTTGAACACAAACAACTCCATAAATAAATACCAGCAGGTGTGCAAAGCTGCAATAAAGTGTCTATTTTGCCTTGTTGAAGATGGATATTGCAGTCGGAATGAAAGTTTAAGTGATATTTTCTTTTACCCTAGGTGCTCTGAAGCGTTTTTTGAGTTTGTTTTCAATGCATGATACTAGGGGATGGTAAGCCCGAGAGTTGGAGTGCAGGGAAAGCTACATTTAAATAAACAAAGTCAAATAAACAGAATTACCTAATTAAATATATCTGAAGGTTGGATGACATCCATGAATATAGTCGTTTGCCTTTTAGTTATTTAAAGCTTCTCAATTACTCCTGTTTAAAATGAGACATGATTCCCATCTTACATTTATCACTGAGTAGCAGGCCGATGACTCAGACATCACTGATTTGACATGCTTCATTTAGCCAGCGGCATACACTGACAGTTGTGCAATATGTTCTTCCAAACTTCACAGGACTTATTTCAGTGGAAATAAACAGGTTTATGTCCTTATTTGGCCCCAGCTGAAACATTAGCTATAAGCTAACAAGAAATCTTAAGATATTCTCTTGACCGTATGAGATGACACTCATTTTAGTTAGCACATAAGCACAAGAACAATCGGGTAAATCCTCACTCAATGTACAGTTAACAATGTATTACTGCAGCAGTAAATGTCTGTTCAGAGGTTGTGGTGTTTGAATTTATAACTTTGTGTAAATTAAAGTATTAGTCACATTACCATTGTTGAACTATGCTATATACTCACAAAGAACATGTAAATGAAAGACTGAAGTGTATAAAGAATAAGAAAAATCAATACAATGATATGAGAATCATAAAGTTACTAATTTAGATTTTGCATATGCTGACGTAGAACCAACAATTACCCGTCAGGATGCTATAATTAAATTGATTATAATTCATAATACTCTGCATCCATTTATTCATCATCCTTCAAAGCAACAGCTGCTTACAATTAAAGCATTGTGTTGATTGATGTCATCATAAGTTTGATATGTCTAATACAGGAAAATAACAGAAAATACTATAACATTCTGTAAGTATGGCTATATTGAAGACCTCATAGTGGGGTTTTTTACACATTTCTAATATATATTTAATATTATTTATTTTGAGGGAACATTTTGAGGTTCACAGCTCATTTAATCCATTTCAAATGGACGGCCAATAATTGCTATATTAACCCACACACATAGTTTTTTCTATGCTCTACTTATTTTCACAATAACCTTTTATTTTGTAATGATATTTTCACATAATATAGTATAAACAAACAACTCTGAGGCTTTCATTGGTGGTGCAAAAGCTTATTTCACCCACCTATTAGAGGAGTCAAGGCTGAAGTGAAGACAGAGCTACTCTGGACCACAAACGTTATCCCTGCGCCCACAAACATGGCCATGTATCCTGACAGCCACCCACACGGATATGGCAGGTCTGTTGAGATAAAGAACGGAGAGATGGCAATTACCCACGATAAACACATCAATATTAGTCTTCTCCACCACCTCTCTCATGTCAAAAGCATGCCCACCTGTGTTGATGACTTTGTGGATGACCTTTGCGACCTGGCCTCTAAGAAGAGAGTTGAGCAGTTTGACCAGAAGCAGCAGACAGGTGCAGAGGACGGCCAGAGAGCCTGCGAGGAGGATCAGACCCACGGTGAGGTCTGACATCCCCGTGGACACAAACAGATGCTTACCTGCAGGAGGACAGGTCCAACAAACATCAATAGATTATTACAAAAACACACCGTTGTATTGCCTTCTTAGCAGGGAAGTACTGAAAGGGAAATGCTTACTAGAAAAACATTACAATAATGAGAGAACTCACATTTCAGTGGTGATTGGGATAAGTCATGCCTGGAGCCACAGTTTGCAGTGCTCACATTGCCAGTGGACTGTAGACGGAAAGAAAGAGCATCTGTGATGAAAACACAAATTAGCAACGCAGTTTTCACTGGCAGCAGTGTCAATCTGTATGTGGCGCCACTGTGTGACACATTGTGTCTGCATGTGCAGGGGACAGCAGTGGAGACGGGGCCATTACCATAACCAGGTCAGTCTGGCACCATTCTTTCACCAGGCTCCTGTTCCTCATGTCCTCATTTCCCATGACGATTCCCGTGATCACACACTTGTCTAGCTGAGGAAGAAAGGAGAAATATTTTCCATCTTTTAAATTCTGTGATTCAAAGGAAAGCAACATGTATTATTCATCCACCAATCCTTCAGTCCCAAGGAGACACCTTAAATCTAGTTCCCATCACAGCTGTCTAAGGCACTGTTTGTTAAACTTCGCCCGTGTTAGAAATTAAAATCAATGTTTTGATAGCATAATGTACACTAAACATACCGTCAGTTTAAATGCTGTTTTATACTGAAAAACCAGAAGTTCACCACACAAGCAGTTGTTAAGCTTTTATTCTGAAAATCCTTCATGACGACATCCGGGACTACCGCCCATTAGTATCATTAAAGTGGCTATTGACGCCGTTAACATGTATTACATATAAAGTTATGAAAGAGATAAGGAGGAGAAAAGGCATGTGGAAGTAAGCAATGAATGTAAAATGTCGAAATCCTCTGTTTAACGCGATATCGGACACAGACGAACGAGAGGGGGAAGTCCCTTACGTCACTACAGCTCACAGAGAGGAGGAGCGAACAGCAAGCGGGAAGGACGAATGCTTGTAAGGTCTCTTCTGCACGGCCACCCCCTGGGAGAGAAAGCTGCAGACTTTCTCTCCTGAATGAACAATTCTGTTTGTGACTTTACCGCGCTTTTTTTATTAATTAAAGTACCAATTTTGAACCTCAAGAGACTCCATTTAGTCTCCTTTTTAAGCTTCTCTTTCCTGGACGCTGAGAATAAGAACACAGTTAACACCCGCCATAGTTACTTCTGAGATGTCCATTAAACGTTTCCAGCATCACGCAGAACACAGTTAACAATAAAAACAGCGTCAGAGTCACTGAATCCGTAGAAATGTTGAAAGTGTGGTGACCACCTATTTAACCACTGGGACATAATTCAAACTTGGAACTACAGTTTCGGTTATTGTTCCCACACGGACATGTTATGGGTTACCTATAAATAGTGTGTGCCCTCTTGGCTCTCTCTTGTCGACCCGGGCTGCGACCCGACAACATGTCCTTTGCAGCTTGCGAATAAATCACTATTCTTGCACCTTCCTTGCACCGCCTCTGACTCCATGGCTGCTTCTCAGGTCGATTAAATGAAATCCTTGCTTCCCTCACTTGCGTCGTTTCCCTGCGTTTAGTCCCTCCCACCAGGGAAGCATGGAGGGACGCAAGGAAACCACGAGAAGCAGGGAAATGAGTTTTAAGAGCAATGGGACGTCCTTTCCTCCGGAACGTCACGTGAAGCGACGTCCGTTTGTGATGACGCTGCACAGCTGATCGTCTGACAGCAGCCAGCTCTGTCCCCGTTATTTCCACACACACCCCCGCCTCTGTTAGTGCACATTTACTGACACAAACATTTGTATCATCTGTTGTAGATCCCAATAAATAAAATAAAATAAGAACTCATTCTCAAAAAAGATAAACGCCATTCTTAAAATGTATAAACGAACAATAGTTTGATTAATATTGATTAGAGTGCACAAAAGAAATAAAATAATTGAGAGAAGAAAAATATATATGTTATCTATCAAAACCCAGTTATATTAACATTCATTGGATTGCACACTTTGTTTGTTTGGATATGTAGCACATTAACATTTTAATAGCACTTAATGACTGAATGGAAATGACAATAAATGAAAATGTAAAACGAAAAAAGCGATCATGAAAATGTTTCCAATAAATGAATAAAATGATTTTTGACCACTTTGTTGTTCAGATATATCACATATTTGTAACTAAATGAAACAGGAATTGAAACAAAACACGGTATAAACTGAGGAGTGACTCCCGTGAGGTTCATGTATTTTCTTCACTCCGCTGGGAAACGGCTCTCATGTCAAGAAGCATGAGATCAGTGCATGCACTGCATCGTCCAATCAGTGAGTGATACACAGTAAGGGGGCGGGGCGAGTATCTGAGGATTTCATCGGAGGATGGTCTGGTGGTTCCTCGATTATCGCTCCTCCATTATCGCTCCTCGCTCCTCGATCCTCGGTCCTCCGGCAGAAATAAGAGCCATGGGACGGTACTCAAGATGGCGCAGGCAAATCAACTTCCGGTGAGACCGAGGACCGAGGATCGAGGAAATGAAAATAGTCGACCTGAGAAGCAGCCCATATCTCTCGGCACTACACTGGTGACCCTGATACGTCTTGAGAAGCTTCCGGGACGGAGCCGAACACGGCAAAAGGAACTCAAGTTCCTTTCTCGAAATGCCGGGGTTTGATTGGAGACGTCCGTGGCTGCCACCGGCACGCTGACTGAGGCTCGGTGCGCGCTCCGCAGAAGGCTGGAGACGTTGCTCGCCGTTCCCGCATCGGCTTTCTATCCAACGGGGGGACGATGCACGACCTGCTGGGTCGACCAGCAACCCCATTGCTACCTCGTGGGTTTGTTCTTCGGGGCGTGCGGCTGCACGTCCCGGCTGCTAACCACGTGGGGCTAACGACGGCTGCCAGCTACCCATGGCTGCCAGCTAGCGGCTAACCACGTGAGGCTGACGACGGCTAGTGCTAACGGCTATCAGCCCTTTTGAGTTTTTGTTTTTTTCTGGTGAGAGGAGGTTCGACCAGCCGGTTGACCTCATGTGGACACTCTCACCTTTTTCACCACCTCCACGGCGGTTCCAGACGCCACTCACGTTTTCATCGACGCCTGGGTTGTGCACTCCTGGACCCCGTCTCGCCTCGACGGTTTTGGATGTCGCCCATGCTGCCATCGGCCTGTGGGTGGCGCGCTCCGGAGCCTGTCTGGCCTCTCCTGCCTTCCGGGGATATCCAGACGCCACTCACGTTCATCGGCGCCTGGGTGGCGCACTCCTGGACCCCCTCTCGCCTCGACAGTTCCGGACGTCGCCCATGCTCCATCGGCCCATGGGTGGCGCGCTCCGGGACCCTGTCTGGCCTCTCCTGCTTCCCGGGGATGCCTCAGCGCCTGCTGAGGACTTAATGCCCGCCGCCGCGGCACGTCTGCCTGCGGCCGGGTTGCTCTCCTGCTTCCCGGGGATACCTCGACACCTGCCGAGGACTTCGTGCCCGCCGCCGTTGCACGTCTGCCTGCGGCCGGGTTGCGCTCCTTCCTCCCGGGGGGACGGCTCCTCTCTTCCGGGGATACCTCGACGCCTGCCGAGGACTTCGTGCCTGCCGCCGTTGTGCGTCTGCCTGCGGCCGGGTTGCGCTCTTTCCTGCTGGGTTCTCCGCGACACCTACTGCGGCCCCCTTACGACGGCCCGCCCCCGGTGTGGGTGCCCTCGCCCTCGTTAGGGCCCCTGCCCTCTCCTGCGGCCCCCTTTCATGGCCCGGTCCTCACCTGCGGTCCCCCACCCTCCTCGGCCCTTGTGGTGCTTCCTCCACGGACGTGGGGATATTTTTTTTTTTGCCATGTTTGAATTCTGGGGGGGCTTGTGTGGTGACCACCTATTTAACCACTGGGACATAATTCAAACTTGGAACTACTGTTGCGGTTATTGTTCCCACACGGACATGTTATGGGTTACCTATAAATAGTGTGTGCCCTCTTGGCTCTCTCTTTTCGACCCGGGCTGCGACCCGACAACATGTCCTTTGCAGCTTGTGAATAAATCACTATTCTTGCACCTTCCTTGCACCGCCTCTGACTCCATATCTCTCGGCACTACAAAATAATGGTTTCTTGATGTAAGACAAAGGAAGCCTCTGATTTCTAGCTGGCAAATAAAGAATTTGCAAACAAAAAGTGTTTCAAACAGACTTGAAATAGTACAACTGTATGAATAGATCTCAACGCAACATTGCTGGGGTTGATTGTTCACGTCCCCAAGTTCCCCAAAGAGCAGGTTAACTATCGCCCAAACTCTGCAGCATCCGGGTTCGGCTTGGGGGAATACTACACAGTGAATGTGACTTTTATTTATGATGTAACCTGTAACCCACATACTAATGTAATGATGTGCTCATTGACCCGATAAGCCCTCTGATAGGCCGACTACTTTAGGCAGTAAGCTAGCCAGCTAGACATGTTAATGATTGCACCACGCATTAGCGCAAAGTAAGGGTTTAGAACATTCCTTACACTTATGAATTGTGTCTTTGGTTTTGAAAAATACTCTATTATCCAAAATCTTTAAATATCGCTCTCACTGCGGAAATCCAAAGACTGAAGACCTACCATGACTAGGTCAACTAAACTAAGATTTGCTGTTTAGGGGAGGCGTTTAACAAATGGTTAATCACAAAAGCTGACTGGCTGATAGTTACCTGTATGATGAGTTTGGTCACTGGCTCAGTGATAACTTTGAGCAGCTCAGGTGCTTCCTCTCCGGGATGCAGCTTGAAACTGGAGACCAGCAGGAGAGACAGCTTGGTGATGAAGCCGCTCGCCACCTCCAGCGGCAGCAGGACCAGCACCGACAGCCAGTTGAAGCAGTCGTGGATCGTTGCTCCAGCAAAGGCACTGCAGTGGGTCACAATCATTGTCTGTGTTAACTAAGGTCAGCCATTAACATGATCAACCACTCAAAATGATTGCTTGTTAATCTGCTTTTCATGGGTCAAGTTTTTTATATGTGGATGATGCAATGTGCAGTTTAGTTTTGACTTTGAGTTAGTAAATTATGAATGTTTAATCAATTATATTTATTTTTTACCAGACACAGATTAAAATACATGCCATCTGTGCAGTGCCGTATATTTTCATGCCAAAAAGATACTGGCGGAGTCAATGTGTGTTGGTGCCATTATTGTCACTATACTTAAACGGAGGCTGAAGCAAAGAGGCAGCAGGCAGCTGCTAATGCTTTCTCTTAACCCTCCTCTGCACTTTCAACACTTTTATCAATCTTCCTCCATCTCCCTACTTATCCTCTTCACTTTTCCATTTCAATTTCTTATTCCCTGCTCTTCAGCTTCTCCTGCACTCATGCTGTGCCTCGCCACCTTTCTCCACTCACCGTTTAAACTCATTCCTCTCTGCTGCTTGCATCATGGCCACCAGGGTGTTCGTGACTGAGGTCCCAATGTTGGACCCCATGATGATTGGAACAGCAGACCTCACCTCAAGCACTGTGGGGTGAAACCACGAAGAGCGACACATTTCACTCGAACAATATAACATGTATGATGGATAAGTAGTGTATGGCATCATTATGAATGATAGTGTATCGCATAATTATAAGCAGTGACTTCCCGTCATTCAGAATGGTACATGAGGTGACAGTAATTTGCGGGGGAGTGGAGGCAGCTTAACCCACTCTGACGGGGGGTTCATTGTTGAGAATACCTTTAATGATGATGACCTACAACAGCCTGCTCACACACACACACACACACACACACACACACACACACACACACACACACACAATTCCATGCGTTTGCATCTCTTTGATAATTACCTATATTCTCTGAGTTCTTTCACAGAAAGGATTTGAAAGGCAGCTCATGCATACTGATATCATTCTCTGTTAACAACAAAAATACCTTATAGCCTGCACTCATTAGATAAAGACAGGCTGTCACCTCACCATGTCACTGTTTTTTGACTCAAGATAAACTAGACTTAATGAGAAGGTGGGGGGGATTAAAGGGTGTGAAATATGTTGATTTCATTATCCCTTGGATCCCATTCCAATCTACTAGATTACATTCATTCCCAGATGTTTTTCGCAAATGGTTATCACAGTACTACAATCTAAAATGTCAGACCAGTCAGTGTGTCCTAATAATCAAACACAAAATATAAATTTTAGCAGAGAGCACTTTTTTTGTATGTCTTTTGTAAGGTTATCGATGAAGACATTTTCTATTATTCGTTTAATCCCATGGAAAGATAAATCTGTTGATACATTCACCAACAAGTATTTTCTGTTCAGTCTTATGTACAACCTTGTGTTTTATAGAATTAATATAAAGAAACGAAAAACTATTAAACTAATAAGGCACAATGTTGCTGACATGTTCCCTTCATTAAGATGCTAAGGGCATGCAGTTTATTTTAAGTCAGTCCCACATACACCATCTTCCTGCCAGAAATACTCACAAAAATAGCAAACATGTTTATATTCACAGCTGAAAATAGTCCTCAACCAATGCTGTATTTACTTCTGTGTGCGTTCAGTTTCCTAGAAAAGTTGAGGGCCCAGTGCACTCAGAAAATGATTTACATTTTGTATTTCACCTATTTTGTATTTGACCAACGCTATAATATCTTTGCTAATTGTAACTTAATGCATAGCATACTTACATGTCTAATCTTATTTGAATCCGTAAATAAAATCATTTTGCTACATGGCAGCTCACCAGGGCTGGAATCTAAGTGAGTACATTTACTTGATTATTGAACAGAAGTACATATTTGATGTACTTATATGTACTTTTATATTTTATTTTTGTGCACCCTTTATATTTCCCCTACATCTCAGAGCGAATGCTGTACTTTTTACCACATTGCATTTGTGCGACAGCTTTCATGAGTACAGTAATATACAGATTACACTTTCTCTGAGGTCATGTAAAGTAAACTGTCAGTCATTCATGGTTCTCACACAGCGCAGTGAGGAAGCTTCAAAGACATGATTTTTTAGAATATGAAGCATTTCTATAGAAAGAAGCAGTAATACAAATCAAAATACAAAAAATAAGGTTATTTCAGTATATTCTGCGGCTAATAGTTTAATTAAAGGTCACCTATTATGCAAAATCCACTTTTTCCCGTCTTTTATACATCAACATGTGTCCCCTCTGTGTAAAGCGATTCTGAAAGCTTCAGGAAAAAAGATTCGCTCACTTTTTGTCCTGATCCATTTATATAAAAACCTCTCTGAAAATGAGCTGATCAGATTTTGGCCACTTTATGATGTCATAACGTTTTTTTGGCTTGTGCAACCATTAGCCAATCACCAACCAAGGTAACTGCCGCCCAGCTTATCACCTGAATCTCCTCCTAGAGCACCATAGTGTTCTTTTTAACCAAATATCTCTCAGAGGGGCGTGGGGAGGGGCTCCTTATTTTCATCTAAAGTAACAGACACAGAATCAGCACTTTTGAAACAGGCCTGAAACAGAGGGGTTTATGGGATGCTACAATGCATGATTTGTTTAGTATTTCGAGCCAACCACTTCAGAGACATGTTTTGTATATATCCGAGACCTATAATATATTGATGAAAAAGGGTATAATAGGGGACCTTTAAGTAAGGTTTTAAATGGAGGATTTCTAGGAGAACATTTTCCCAGTGTGGTATTAGTTCTCTCTGCAATGTTATGCTCCTACTCACATCCCGAGGCCACCAGACTGACGACAATGGAGGTGGAGGTGGATGAACTCTGGACGAGCACAGTGACCAGGATCCCCACCACCAGCCCTGCCACGGGGTTGGACAGCACCGCATTGTCCTGGAAAATGTCCCCTGCAACTTTACCTGTTTAAATATGCGAAACACATAGAGATACAGAAATGCTGTTCTCTGACATGACATGTTAGCCAAGAGCAATGTTAAATAACATTCTAACTGCTTGTTTCTGCAAATCCTAAAAGGTCAATAGTTGCAGCTCTGCAGTAAATTATACAGCAGGACCAACAGCTCAGTGACTCACTTATTTGGCAGACATCAGCCGGGGGAGTCACTTTAAACCCAATGAGAGGCTACTGAGGGTCATGGTACTTACCCCCTGCTAACTGGAAGGCAGAGCTCAGAGTGTCCAAGGAGCAAACAAAGAGGAAGAGGAGGATGAGGAGGAGAGGGATCTTGGATAGATTGATGAGTAGCTGTGGGATCTTGTTGGAAGTCACTGCTGTGGTCTGTGAAGAGCTTTCTGTTTAAAACCACAACAATAAAAACAAGGAGATGGTTAAGCCTGCATGTCTAACCAACGGAAAGTTATCAAAATATATCACAGATATGTTTTCCGGTCATTTGAAGCATTTCCATTTCTTTAATCTCTCTCCTAGCTTTCCTACAGAAGTGATTTAGAAGCACAGAGGCAGCTCCTGCATACTGACATTGTTCACTTCAGACACTTAACCCAAATAGGACCTCAGAGACCGCGCTCATTAGAAACAGACAGGTCATAACCCCAACGTGTAATGGTCTTATGAGGCAAGATAAACTAGACTGACTGAAATGGTGGGAGGTTACACACACATTAAAGAGGGAAAAGGTTGCAATGACGTGTCCCCTTCGTTAGGAAGAACACACTTTAGTGTATTTTGAGTCATTCCCACATGCACCACCAGCTACCAAAAGCACTCAAGGTTTTGGTCTTTTGCAGAATTTGTTAACAGTATGATCAATATAGAACGACTCCAGCCTTATCCTATGATTAAGTATAGACAGAAGTGGGAGAAGTACTCAGATCAAGTATCAGGGTGTATAAATACTCTGTTACAAGTACAAGTCCTGCATTCAAAATGTTAATCAAGTAAAAGTATAAAAGTGTTGGCATCAAATAAACTTAAAATACCAAAAGTAAAAGTACCCATTATGCAGATTGGCACATTTTAGTATATGTTTTTCTTATAATTATTGATGCATTATGTGTTTATCAAAGCTGGTAAAGGTGCAGCTAGTTCAAATTAGTTTGTATACTGCAGGGTAGCTTGTGAATGTTACTCGGGGTGTAACTAAAGTCTTAATTAACTGTTGATTATATTTCACATCAAAAATCCAAAGTAACTAAAGGTATTAAATAAATGTAGTGGAGTAGAAGTACGAAGTAGCAAAATATTGAAATACTCAACTACAACTATGTACAGTACTTGAGTAAATATACTTTACACCACTAAGTATAGCTTAATTTACCTGATGACATTGTTCTGTATAAGAGAGATCGCATTAGTAAGACATTTCACATAGCTAAAGAGGTCAAAGTTGTCTGAAGAACTACATTACCCAGCAAAATGCTGCTGAGGGACATCAGGACTGTGTCTTTGTTGCCCAGACTGTGATCCCACTGGCCCTGTGCGTGTATTTTGAGCACGTCCTTATCTAATGAGCATGTGGTTTGGATTCTGCTGTTGTTATTTTCCTTTTCAAAGACATCAGACCTGCTGCCGTGCCAGGAAATGATTCTTCCTTTCATGCTGCTCTTGTACCTTTCTCTATATCGAGTCTATCTTCCTCCCTGGGTGAAACACAGCTGGTTTGGTGTTTGGTATGTTGGTTGTGGATCTCAAAGCTGCTGCTCAGGTCAAGAGTGGACCCGATGCCAGACTCCCTGTCCTCCTCCTGTGGGAGTTTGGGCTGTGAGGAGAGCTGAGTCCCTAGTATCATCAACCCTGATAATGAATAACAAGAGGATGCACTCAAGTGGGGAAGATCAGCTTTGCATTTCAAAGTCATCAAAAAACAGAATGCTGGGAATTGAAACTAATAAGTTACCATGGCAGTTGATTGCTTGTTTCCGACCAGAGGACGCTATTGTTATAGATCGAGATGACATGGTGCATTGAATGCTGTGTAGAAATATGGAAGCAATTAAAATCACAGCATGATATGGTTGTTAAGGGAACACATATGAGAGTCTATGTGTTTAACAGCCTGCAGCAGGAAACATAGGCCAAAGGAGACCAATATGTCTCAAGCCTGTGAGTCTCACTTTGCTACTGTAGTCCACAAACAAGCAATTAAAACAAAGGCGGCCCACAGTGTGTGTAATTGGTTTTGAGATCAAATCACACTTAAACTTCACACACCGAGAGGCACCATCTAGACGATTAAACACCTGAACTAAGAACATCCATAACATTCACCTGTTTGCAACTTACACATTATTTATCACTTGTATATATATATACTACTTCTATTCTATTTTATTGTTTTTACTATGTTATCTGTTGTATTGTGTTGCACTGTTGGAGGAGCCTGTGACCTAAGATTTTCATCGGCATGACTACACTGTAGCTAATGACAATAAAAGCCTTGAATCTTGAATCATCTCTCTCAACAAACACCTTGTCAGAATCAATAAGGTCACATCTGTATCCATGTTGCTTATCTTCCCTTCGTTTTCTGCAGCTGCAAGTCAGCTCTAACGAGACTCTCCTCCGTATGGAGCAGCAACTCAAAGATTCACGCTCTCGGTTCACAGAGAACTGTTTTTCTCCTTTCATTTCAGCCACTTTGCCATATTTTGGGGACTCCAGCGGAGGAGGGAGTACTAAAGTTGTCTGAATATCAATCTAATGTGTCCCTGTAAAGCAAAGAGGATGGAAGTGAGTTGAGTAATTACAGCAGTGGAAATTACAGTAATTACCGTCGCTACATCTTTCTTGTTCTGTGTGGCATCCTCCTGCTGATTCTGATGTGAACAAGTTAGCACGTCTATCTGTATGTGGGAGAATGTGAGACAAGTTCCATAGATTGCAGCTCAATCCTCCCTGAATGTACTTTGGTGATTCTGTGGAGTGAAGGCTTTAATATACTCTGCCTTTGTCTACTCTCTCAGTTTCCCTGGTTTTGTACTTTTTGCCTTCAAGTCACTGTGACTCACATTTATATGTCTATGCTTTTCATGTTTTGCCAAAATGTTTCTTCTTTAGTTCTAAATGAAGCGGGGGTAAAAAAAAAAAGGATTAATCAAACATTTAGTAACAGTTGTCAGCTTGCCGGATGTTTGCGCTCTTGATGCCCTAGCTGTAGAAAAAGGTCCAGAGATTTTCAATTAAAAAATCATTTATTTCAAATAATATAGAAAGCTTTAGAGCAGTATTGATTCAAAATGATTTTACTTATCAAAAGATTATTTTGACATATGAAGTTGGTACCTTACCTTGTCTGAAACCGTCCTAGGTGTTGTGTTTGACCCCCTGAGAAGGAAAGTATCAACCTGAAGAATAACACCTCTTTAAATAAGCCACCAGTTAACACCTCATCCCTTAACTTGCTCCCTCATCAGAGACCTCATTGTTAATCAATAACACAAAGCCTTAAACTAATGATGCATGCGTTTGGAAAACACATTGTATATTAGGTGATGAATGATGTGTGTTCAACCATCTATTGTTCACCTGATTTGGGGCTGGATAAAGTATCCAAGATGAAGAGGACTGTTTTGTAGGATTAATGATGCTTGTCGCTTGAGGTTCTTCTGTATTCCTGTGTAGAAAGTAGGGGAAATCTGACACCTAGTGGTAAATGTTGGAAGAAAAGTACCGATTTTGCACTGTCTCTGTAGTCCGCTCACACTGTGGTTTTTGAATACGTTAAAGCCAAGGTATTAAATGATCATTCCTTGCATGAGATAGGTCAGTGGAAGTATGGCAAACATGTGCGATGTACAGTGCGTGACTTTTGCAGAATGTTCAGATGCTTAGGCACCATGATGATTCTGAGATCCTCCTTAACACACACGTACACACATTTACTTACACACCCCACTACCCACAGACAATGTCCTCCTCACCACGGGAGAAGGCCGTGATGGCCTGAATAACAGGGTAATTGTTAACAATTAGTGGATTCTGTCACATCAGCAGTGCTCTCACCCGAATCTGCTGACCTCAGACTTGCATCCATGAACTCAGGGCAGCAGAACATGAATGACCAACTAGACTAGAGTTGTTACTTTGTAAACTGCTGGGTGCCAGGGAGAGATAACAGCTCTGTTGTGTTGCAGGCAGCTGGACTCGAGCCGAGGCTGCTGTCAATGGGCGAAGGGATAAATCCTTCAGATGTGGTGCCGAAAAGAGACGCAGAGACACTCGTTCACATATGGAACATGTTATCACTTATACACACATGGATAAATCTCTGGCACGACTCCAGATATTTTGGGTAAGCCCCCCCTCACTCCCTGTGATGCTACTAATTCCCTCTCCAGATGTGCAAGCCCCTGGGATGTTGTTGCTCAGCCTGGAGTTAAAGAGGTCACGAGTCATCGTACAACTACCTGCCACTCAAAAACACCTCACTCAATGAGCTGGAACTTGCAGATGCACACTGTGGATCCTCTCTCTTCGGTTTATGATCATAGTTATATTGCATAACGTTACACTGAGGGATATATGTGATGCTTTACAATCTTTCTTTGAAATAAAGGTAATCTGCCAACTCATTATTCACGGCTATTGCAGGTGGACATCCACATGCTGTACATGTCTGAACTTGAAGATTATTTGTGACCACTGTTATTATTAGTAATGTCTTGGCTTTGTAACATGATGTAACTGTAGCAATAATTCATGCCCTTCATTATCACAATTGAATTGTATTTACACCATCTATGGCATACTGAGGAATAAATAAAGTGGATTGGATACTGTTATCAATTTGACAAAAGGTATAATGACATTTTTAGCTCAACAAGGAACATCCCATTTTGGCAACTCAACCCTTAACTGAAGCAGCATATTTTGCCAGCTTATTGCAAAGGTAACAGCAGTAGAAATACTGAAATGTTAATGTTCCAACCACCTTCTCATACAATTCACTCACTCACTCCCCTTACCTGCTCTACTTACATAGAGCTCGTTCGATCATTAGTCTCTGAGTAAGGCTTATCCCCTTAACTAATGAAAGATGGTATTATTTTAATCTGATTCTGTTTGAACACACTGAAGTAAAGTCATTTCTCATTCGGTCACTTGGTCCCTGCCAACTTGTATTGTGTGTGTTTTTTCATCAAGCTCTGCAGCATTTCCTGTTCTGTTTTGATCTGACCCCTTTTGAATGTGTTTGGATCTTATCCTCAAATGTGGATAATTGACCATGTCTAAAAACTGTAAGCCAAAGTAAACTGAACTTTCCCTGTGACATGAATGTGTCATCACCTTTGGGCCAATGTCACGGACCAGATTGCCGTAATGGTTTTCTCCCCCGAACATCTGAATTTGTGTTGTTCCTGGTTTAGGTACAAACTAATTCTTACACAAACACTAAAGCAGATGTGCAAAACCATTTTTACAAACATGTTTAAACCCCTCTCAGCTCCCACTCCACTTTTTCATTACATTAATACATTAGATAGTCAATGCTGCTTTTTGAACCTGCAGTCATCAGTACGGCATCCATTTTTAATGATGTGAATAAGTGCAGAGTAATGACGGCTTCACTCAACAGCATCAATTTATTGTCAATACACATTCAGTTGGTATGTATACGACACTCAAAGTACAATGAAACAGCATTAACACAGGTTCTACAAGCAAGTGTTTCAGTGTGCGTGAGTTTGTGTGTGAGTTTGAATAACCATTTTTACTTTAGTTTCATTCAATCAATCAAATTCATTGCTTGGGTGTTTTATAATTTAGTTCACTGTTCTTTTTCATAATGTTGTACATTTGTCTTTGTACATATGATAATGTTTATGTATGTTATGTTTATGATTATCTTGATGGTTATGTCCTTCCATTTATCACTTCAGCTCTTCCGTGGAGGATGACGGCGTGTCAGAGCTGTCAGGACACTCCTGAAAAACATGTGAAAGAAAATACAGCTTGCATTTTCAAGTATGGATTCCTGGGTTTTTAAATAGTGAAATACAAATAAATACGTAACAGCATTCGTATGTGCACAGCTCACCTTCACTTTCTCCAGCTCTGGTCTGCCTGGGAGGGACTTTTGTGAGGAAAAGGCCTGTGAGGTGAGACAGGTTAATCACATTATACCTGATGGGTATAAGTAACAAGGATTGAAAGATGTTTGAATGACAGATTTGTTCTTTTCACCTTCCTCGTCTGTTGCATCTCCTCTGTGGATTTTGACCTGTTTTTCATGTGCTTCTGAGGGGAGGTGGTGCTGGGACACTAGAAAGAAAGAGTCATATTTGATATTAGACACGGCCGAGTGACTACAAAAAATGTGCCTATCAGGCTTTCACACACCTCGTTTGACTTCTGTTCCATGGCTGGCTCTAGATTTCTTCAGGAAAAGATCTGTGCTGATGTAGGTTTAGAATAAGATGATATATTTTGAATACCTTGGTTGTGCAACTGTAAAGACAAGAGAAAGAAGAGGTACTTTACATGTAGTTATATGCAACAACAATGGTTAAAAGTAAGACAGTTTACAATAATTATTTAGTTTACTTGTTATAATCAGATCCAAAAGGCTTAACTGATCCCTGATTTTGCTATCCTGAGGGGCTGCATGAAAGATTATGCGACAAATCTGCAGTTATGGCCTCTTATCACTAGATGGCGACTCAGAAACATACTGCTGCTCCCACTTCACTTCACTGATGTAAATATTTAGCTGGGAGACTTTCCTCAGGGGATTTACCACAGAGTTTACTAATTGTTCACACACACTCTGCTGCTTCTCATTTTGCAAAAACAAAACATTACTGGGTTTTTTTCAGGATTACATTTAACCGTAAATTATTTATTTTCATACTACTTTCAATAATTCACATCACAGAAACAATGACTGATTAACATGTATTTGATTGGTGACAATAATAAGATTTAGATTAAGATAAAAGGGTAGTCCTGCTCCATTTTC